TGGGAAATGTGTAATATTTGGTTATGGAATGTATTAAATGGTAAAGATAATAGTGATGGCTATATAGCTCATAAAAGTATAACTAAACAAAAACAACGTCCACGTACAAATGAATTAAAAATGTCTTTAACAACTGAAGAATTCTTTGAATCTTATTTAAATAGAAATAAATATTTAAATAATGAAAATATTCGACAAATATCATTGTATAAATTAATTTATTATTATTTTATTGAAGCGAAACGTTTATTAGGTATTGATTTATTTGTAATAGATCTTCGTTGTACACCACGTCATAGAAGTTGTCCCATACGAAAATATCTAAATCAGGAATATCTAAATCATGAATATGATTTAAATAGTTTAACAGGTCGATGTGTCCGTTTATATTCAACTCCATTGAGAGATTTAGGAGGTATAAAAGGTAAATTTAAATCAATATTACCTGGAATCTATGAAATTATATGTCGTATTAAACTGGATAAGAACAATGTATATTTAACGTACTATACTGAATGTTGTAGTAAAGATCATAGAGTAGAAAAAAGTGTCGAATGTTCTTTTTATGCACTAGCTGATCATGGTCTCGATTGTGAATGTGATTCGAAAACAATGAATTTTGATTGGTTTGAATCAAACTATTTATTACATGAGAATATTAATTGGTTTAATGAAACAATGGGTAAAATAAAAGTATTCGAATTATCGAATATTTATTTTGGATTTCGAATTAGATCAGATTATGGTTATCGCAATATTTTATTTGACTATATACAATTAAATATTATTAAATAATGTACTTTGTGTTTTTTTTACAATGTAAAATTGAATTGTTTAATAAATATTATAAGTTTTAATTGTCTTGATTCTGTTCATAGCTATTTAATATGTCACGAATTTTTAAAATTTAGAAAATTTGCTTTTTATCATACAAAACATAAAATTTGCTCACTAAGAATGAGAGAGTTTGTCGCAATCGATATAGTATGAAGTAGATTTTTAGTAATTAAAATTATGCTTAAGAAAAACCGTCTGGTGTAATCCTATGGTGATTACAACATGGAACAAGATGAGACTGCTTGTGTTGTAAATAAGAACTTTGAGCAAATGGTCTCTTTGAAAAAAGAATTTGTATGAAATTCTCTATTTTTCAGCTTCTTCTCTACTCGAACGTGAATAGAAGAACTCATTCAAACACATTTTGTCATACTTTCTATTGAAATATAATGGTTTAAATAATTTTTCACTCGTCACAGAAATATCAATCGAAAAAAATATATCGATGCAGACAATCATGGATTAGTATTAAATAAAAGGATATACTATATGAAAAAGTGGATCACTGTTATCGGATATTCATTATATTTAGATTTTAACAATAAAAACCAACCTAGTATCTATGCGATATATATATATATATTATTTTTGCTTTGCATATTGATAGAAATAGTTTTTAAATATTCTTAAGGCATTTAGTCGAAGAATGTCATTCGAATATCGTATTGAATCATCAGAAAAACTGTTTACGTCAATGATAAAAACAGAAAAAGACAATCTTTTTTCTCTTTGATAGAGAAGATTTACTGTTATTAAATTTATAATAAATGATCCAAAATTGACGCGTACGTTATTTTCTTCATCGATCTTTTTTGTTTAAATTTTCTTTCTTGAATTAAAATACCATGTTTTTTCGGGTAGTACCTTTTTTTTTATTATTGAAAAATTAATTATCACAATAAAGTTCTAGACTATAAGCATTTAATATACACTATGGATTTAATGAATCAGATCTTTTTCTTTCTATTCGACAACTTCAAGTATGTTTTTTATTACTATATATGAAAATGTATTATTTTTAAAATCTATTTTAGATGTTTATTAATGAATATGCTAAAATTTCATACATGAATATTTTGTTGATTAAGACAAATACTTTTCTTCATGATGATACGAATTTCTCTTATACAGGAATACTCTGAAAAGAGTTCGAGTCTTTGGCTTGTTGTTGACAAGATACTATATTTTTTAATACAATCCCGTGCTCCTCTCAGGAACATTAGGAGAATTAATTTGCAAATTTTGACTTGAAAGTTTGCGCAGAAATAGGCCCTAACGAGAATAGTTTATTATGAAAATTTTAGATCTTTTCGTTGTTCTTATCTTAAAATACGACTATAATAAAAGTGTCTTTTTTTACATTGTTTATATACACATCAGTAGATTCGATGTTCTTATTTAATAATAAGATTAAATCAAAAGATCTGAAACTTTCACAATAAACTATTCTCGTTAAGGCTTGTCTTTTTGTGTCAAGTTTCAAGTTGAAAATTTGAAAATTACTTTTCCTGAGAGGAACTATATCATTGAATTAAAAAATATAATATTTCGACAACAATAAGCTATTGGTTCGAACTCTTCTCAGAGTATTCATAGCTTATTAGGATCTACATAATGCATATAGGTTTGACTCAAAAGTAATTAACTAGTTGAGAAATTTTTTGCTTCAAATGAGAAAATAATATCAAATTATTTTACATTTAAAAAAATCTGTTCTTCTTTTCATTCAGGATGTTATTATTCTTTATATGACTGGTGAATATAACTATGGAGGTCGATAAGTTTCTTTTTCTATGCAAAATCTTTTTTTTTCACAGTGACTGATAATTGAGATCGTTGATGTTTATATATAATTCTTAAAGATTTTTACAATTCACAACTAGCTGGAATTATTAAGCATCAATAATGACGAATTGATGTTTATTGTGTACCACTAAAAGGTACTTATGAAAAATATATTAAATTTATTTAAAAACTTACCATTAATTCAAGAATTCTGAAGTCTTTGATATGCATGAAAGTGTTGATATATCAAAAGATTTACAAGCTAAAAAAACTTTTGTTTGATTCAATTTTTTTAACAATGGGTTCAGCAACAACTGAAAGTGTTGATATAGATAAAAAATTAAATGATACTTCTAATGCTATGCTTTTAAAAATAAATAATTAATTATATTTTTAATTATTTAGTTACTAAATAATTTTAATTTGAAAGAAACAATGAAAAAAATGTTAAACACAAATTTTGCTAGAAAATATTACAATACCAATCAATCTATTAACCTTCGAATTTCAGATATAAAACTAGCTTCTTTCTTATATATTGATTTATTTTTATTTTTTCTATTCAGATTTTCAAAGTCACTAAAAGTATAACAGCTCCAAATGATGATGCATATATTAGTGGTCTTTTCCTTGATGGTGTAGTATGAAATCAAGACACATAATTTTATATAATCCCAAGCAGATATAAAAAAAACTAATGATGAGCAAGATGAGTAGTTGAAACTTAAAGATAAATATTTTTTTCTGTTCTTTTCGAATATCGAGCGCTCGAAAACATTTTCCCATTACACACTCATTTTCGATTCATCAGACACATTTCGATCACTTGAAATTCATTGAAATTACGGCTACTTGAAGGAGGAGACTCATCGAGAAGATACTTTCGATTGGTTGATATAATTCTAGTTATTAGAAGCTCATCGAAATATCGATTACTTAACAAGAGTAAACCTATCGAACAAATAGTCTCGATTACTCATTTTTATTTTGATCGTTGAAAAATTTTGCACCCAGTTTTCGAATGAATCTTCACTGTTATTCCATCATCCCATCGGAAGATTATTTGTTTGTTAGATGATTTTATGTAGTTTCATGATTTAAACAACATTATTCATCAATTCCGACTAAAATTATAACAGAAATATGTGTGCATTTATTAGTTATTGAACTCTTCAGAAATATTGTAGTTCTCTAAATCACATTTATTGACAATTAATCATTTACGAAGAATTGTTCATAGGAGAATTTTGAATGGTCGATTTCAGTCCTCAAAACTATGAAAATAGTTAAACATTTTAAATCAAAAGAGAGTAGTTAATGAGATTTATCATTGTTCTAATTTCACTATTTCTTTCATGACTTTTTTTTTAATGTTCACATTAATTATAATGTAATTTATGCTTAAGAATAAAATCTTCTATTTATATAACGCAATCTATAACGACTAGAATTGCTTTCGTCAAATATTGACAATAGGAAGAACATATACATGATCAATTTTGTCTTTTGAAAAAAAATGGGATATAGAAAACAAAATTTTTTGAAAATTTGTAAAAATTTCGAGTACTCCGAATATCAACTACTCGAAGCCATGCTAATTTGACCCATCGAAATTCATCGATGATGAACGCATTGAGGACATCGAATTTCCAGATCGACCCCTCGAAGTGTCACCTTCAGATAGGTCGACTAGTCCGTGATCGATGAACAATTTTCAATTTTATTAACCCATCGAAGAGCTTCATGTCCTAGTGAAACATCTTGTAAGCAAGATCTTGACCAAGATACAAGGTAGAGAAAAGTAAATAGATCTTGAGATTTTAGGTACAAGATATTCACATTATCTTGAACCAAGATCTGTAATTAGATCTTGGGTACAGATTTTATAAGATCTTGATTGACATACACATGGTGAAAAGTGACCAAAGCTATCCATTTATAGATGATCGTAAATATTTCTAAAACAGTCTGCCTGATGTAACTTTTCACGCTGATCATAAATCTGAAGTCAATTCTCTGCTACAAGCTAAGGACAGCAAATTCTGACCAATGGTCAATTTAAAAAAATCTTCGAAATGGTCGTTCTTATGAACATCTTCATGACCCCTAAACAATTTTGTAAAATTTAGTTTTTAGAAGTGGTAAAAATAATTTGCAAAATGTTATTAAGTCAAGATCTTGCCCCAGATTTCAAGATCTAATATATGCAAATCTTGATCGAAGATAATTACATTATTTTGTGTGTAAATTTTCAAGATCTATTTACATTTCTATACCCAAGATCTTGTCCAAGATCTTATTCACAAGATATTGAATCTTGCTTACAAGATGTTTCACTAGGGCAATCTAAATATCAACATACTTATCGATTGGCAGCTTCGGATACTTAATTTATTTATTTTCTTTTATCTAGAGATTTACTTGATGAACAATTTCCAAAAATTCTATATGATTCTGAACTAAATATTTGGATAAAACCAATTAAAACAAATGAATTAAATACCGAAGAAACATATGAACGTCCAGTAAACAAATCAACTAGAATAACATTGGATAAAACGTGTTGTTGTTGCATTACTCTGTCAACTTGATGATTGAAAGAAAAAAAACCTAAATTAAATTCACTTTATTTATTTTTAATATACATTTATTTTAATTTTCTCTATCTCTATCTTTTTCAAAAAAAAAAAGGAAGAATGTATTGTATTTTGTCACTATTATCATAGAATTAATCGAACAGTAATAAGACAAAATGAAGAATTAATGATAATTTAATGTTTGTTATTTTAATTTAATTGCTTCTAAAATTGATTTTTGTTTTGATTGAAAACAATTTTGAACTTCTCGTAATTCAATTTCGATTATTTCATCAAGTAATACTAAATGTTATGCGATTTGTTTCAGTAGAAAATTGTTCAATTATCGGAAGTGAAATAAAACAAACAAATTGATAAAAATGTTAAAATTGAATAAGAAATCCATACTTGTTGAAAATTGTCACCATTTGTATTATACATTCATATACTTCTTGAACAATTAATTTCATAAATTCTTTTTTATTTTTATCAGCTGTTACTCGTTTTGATGGGTGTGGATGTGCGTGTTGGTCTCCTCCTAACCCACATCCACACCCAATCAATTGATTTATGTCTATGTAAAATTTGTATAAATTAAATTGAATTGAATTAAAGTTTTCTTTTATTTTTTTGAAATCTTCCAAAAGAAAATATTTACATAGAAAACTATTTATTTTTTGAAACTTTTGCTAGAAATGAAATATCTTCTCAGTTTAATTGATTAATAGAGAATTGAATAAAAATTTACAAAAATAATCTTCCCATGTTTTTTTTTATTTTCTCAAAATATAATATAAAATTAATAGTAAAATGAAGTTTGATAATTGAACATTAAATTTTTCTATAATTCAAATACCAGACAACCAATACATTACAATCTCTCGGCAATCAACTAGATCCTCAAACAATATATTATCTAGCTAATATATTACAATATGACAAAGTAAGAGCAATTTCCTTGTTATCTATCTCATATTTATGTATATCATTCAACATAGAAAATCACGAAGATAAGACTTGGAAATAGTGCCATCAGCGATATAGGGACGCAATATCTAGCTAATGTATTACAACATAATACAGTAACACTTATTTTCTAGTAATTAAATTCATGTGATTTTATATCATTGAATACAGACGCTCGTCACATTTGATATTCGATACAACAAAATTGGTCCTGCAGGGGCACAATATCTGGCGAATGCATTGCTGTATAATACAGTAGAATTAGCCATCAATACATTCATTTTAAATATATCTGTAACATTTAACGTAGACACTCACTGTGCTACATCTTGGATACAACGAAATCAGTGATGAAGGGACACAATATCTAGCAAATGCATTACATCAGAATACAGTAAGACCAATTTTTTTTTTATTCAACTATTTCTTATGCATCTATATCATCTAATACAGACACTTGCTGCTCTACATCTTTGGGGAAACAAAATCAGCAACGCAGGAGCACGAGATCTAACAAATGCATTAAAATATAATAGAGTAAGACAGATTTTTCTAGTTGTTTATCTCATGCATATCTTCATCATTCAATATAGACACTAATCAAACTTGATCTTTGATACAATCAAATTGGCCGTGCAAGAGCACGATATCTGGCGCATGCATTGCAGTATAATACAGTAGGATTAGCTCTTAGCTCATTTATTTCATATATATCTTATCATTTAATACAGACACTCACAATGCTAAGTCTTGAACAGAATTCAATCGATTTTCAAGCAAGATAATATTTCGAAATAGAAATGAAAAAAGTTCCATTAAGAGTGTGGCTTTAATCAAGAGTAATTAAAGTTTTTCATGATAAGATTATATTTTAATCTTCGAACAATTTCATTTGCACTTTAATACAGTATTAAAATTCAGAAAGTTTATAATACGGGTTTTTTTTTATTGAAGCATTTTTGTCGAATAAATAAGAATATTAATATAGATGACAAGCTATTTTCTTTATCTAAGTTTATATCAACAAGTATTTTAACTATCAAATATCTCAGAATCTTTGGAATATAATTTGTCATTAAGATATTTTTGCAAAGACAAATCATAAATATTTAATTCGTTTTTATCAGATTCGTCAAGAAATTTTCTAAAATAATGAAACTAAAAGATGTATGAAATATTGTAATTTCTTAGTCATCCAAATGCAGTTCTACATATTAAAAATCCGTGATCATCTCTTATATAAAAGGTGCCTATTAACATATATTGATTACCTTCCAGTTAGATGTGATACATCTATGTTCGTCATAAGAGCAGATTTGCTCTGTATGCAAGCAAGTGTTACTCGAAATACATTTTATTTTTTTTTATCTCGGAACAACAAACATTAGTTACAATTTATTTTTTTATTATTAAGTCCAGACTGTTTTCTACGTTTCAAGACGAGAATGATTTTATGATAATGAAAGTTATGTCATATTCACACAACATTCATATAACGAAAGTGTTTTTAATAACTCATTCATATTGTTGTACATCAAACCGATGTTCTTGTTGAACATAATCTAATGAAGAGGATTTGAAGGAAAAGTATTTTGTTCCATGGTAACGAGTCTTTTCCAGAACAGAAAGAGTATTCCAATGTTCATCCATATTCATATATACCAAACGCATGTTACTGTAGAAAGAAGTCAAACCACGATGTTTTGGAGTACGAGTATTTTTGTAGATTTCAAGTGATTTTTCAAAGAATTCCATTGCCTCATTGGTATTTCCTTTGCTTATCTTTTACTCTGTCAAGTTGATTGTAAATAGTTGCTTTTTTTACTACCATCTATTGTATATTCCAGTATAGTCTCATAAACTTTTTCGACTTGAACGAACTAATCTTTTAAAAATTAGCAATAAACATAAACCTAATCTATACCATCTTGTTGAGTATGGGAAAGTGTCTTGTTGAATGCATTCAGCCAACATAACAAGACCTTTATTACTGTCTCTGATAAATGTCAAGTACACTTGGAAATGTTGATAATTGTCTCCAGTAGTTTAATTTTGTGAATAGGAAAAAATCGTATGTATTGAAAACAGAACTTCATCTTTTTTTTTTCTTCATAATAGATGGGATTGGTAATGTGAGCAGATGTTGTTCTTGATTGAGAAAAATCAATAGTAATGATGAAGGAAATTCCCACTAAATCGGGATTTACAAGAGAATGTAGATGTGGATGTATGAGTGAAAATAAAACACGCGCCCACACTATAGTCCAGTTTTATCTCTCTGTGAGCACTGTTCAAAACATCTTGCAAAAAATTCATTCGACATCAATTCAGTTATTGAACTATATCCCGAGTACGCGAAGAACATACTACTCAGTGACAGCCTGGAGTCGTATCTGTTTTGTATCTTTGTGCAAAACTGAGCTTTGTTTTTTACATTCTCTCTCTCTCCAAAGGAAACAATATTTAACAAGTAATTGATAGATATACTTTATTCGGTCACGTGCTTTATATTCTTCATGTACTGATATACAGACGATGCTTTGCCGCTGCGTTACATACAAGTGCTTCTTGCAACCTTGTTCGCCCTAGAGAAAAATTTTATTGGCCTGAGGCGGCGTTCTACTTCATCTCATTAGTAGGTTCGTTGCTAATCCAAATATTCACTATAATTCGACTTTTAATTTGTAGAATCGGATTAACGATTGTATTGGCTCCGTCGATATCTGAGTGAAGTTTTTATGATGGTTTTCAAAATCTTTCTCGCGAAAATAATTGAAGAATTCATGCAAGACAAAATATTACAAGAAATTTGTCTTTCAAACGACTATGTCATTCCATCCTCGATCCTTGATCCTTGTTATCAGAGATTGACCGAAACTCATTGTCGATCAATGTCTTGACCACCGATCAATTGACTTAACAAAAGTTTTATTTTCTATCACTAGCTTCCGGTACTGGATGTCAAAAGTAGGAAAATGAGAATCTGATAGTCATATAGATTTTTCTCGTTGAAAAGCAATGACTTGGTATAGGATAATTTCAAGCTAAGATTTGATTTTATTCTTAGAATTTTTTGAAGTAAAGACGCAACTATCATAATTTCTATCGCGTTTGATATGTAAAAACTATATGAATAATTGGTTCGAAAACTCATAAAAATCTTCAAACATAAATCATTACAAAGCCGTTATAGCGTCTCATATATAGCATCACACAGAGCAAACATGAGAACAAGACACAGATCAATTAACAAGGAAATCGAAATTCAAAACGTTATAATATTAGTTGTATCAATCGAAAATATTGTATTCAAAAATAATCCATGTTTACAGAGTCTAGATGTTTGGAAGTAGTGCACTGGTTCCTTCTTCTATGAGACGAGTGCCTTTGCATATGTGGATGCTTATTACTGTATATCTTTGTTTGATTTTCATAATTTGTTTGTCGATGTATCACCACCCGCTTCAAGAGTAGTCCAAAAGCCGAAACCGATAAAGTTAGATCTAATCGCATAATAAAATTCTTTTCATATCATGAGGAAAGAAAAACATCATTTGATTTAGTTGTAAATCATGTTAGTCAACAATCAAGTTCCATCAGGCGAATATCGCCATAATTATGTTCGATTGACATCACTTATTGGTACAGTTCTTTTATTTCTTGGTTATATTGTTGTTGATCAATTATTCGAACAAGGCGCTAACAGTAAATTTTCTTTTCTTAGCAAACTAAAAAAAAAATGATCAGATTATTATCTTAATCTTCAGGAGTTTTTCCAAATACAACATATCGTCTTGAACAATTATATGATAATGAGATAACACCATCTTATTGGGTTTATCGAAGTTTGGATGTATTTAATTATTTCTGGCAGGTAAAACAGATATTTTCTTTAATCAAAAAAAACGAAACAATTTTTATGTTTAGCTTGCTTGGCTTTTATATTCATTATCGTTTATTTATCGTCGTTCAACAAATGGTTATCTTTATTTATCACCAAAAACATTAACATTAACATTTTCTATTATTTATATAACTGGTTTTCTGATTCAAACAATTTGGCTTTTATTTTTCTATAAAAATTATGCAATTGTAAATATGAAAATTTGATATGATATATCTGTATTTTTTTCTTCATTTATTTCTCTCGTTTCTAGTGGAGTTGGATTATTTATTTAGTTTCATTTTTATTATTATCATTTGCTTTATTTATTATTAATAATAATTTAGCAGTAAATAAAAAAATCTATGAAACAGAAGGATTGTAAGTAATTTATTTAATAAAAACACAATGTTTTTCTCTTTTGAATTTCTTAGTAATGGAGATATTTGGTGTCTTCGATTTTTTGCTCAAAATGGTGTAGCATTTTTTGCTTGTTGGACAGGTTTTGAAAATGATTCGAACTTTGTTTTTCATTTCTTTGAAAATATTTCTTTGTTTTTTTAGCTGTTCGTTTTATTCTTACATTTGATATATTTCTTCAAGTTAAATCTAATTTATCAATTGTAAATACTGGTACAATATCATTAATCTTAGCAGCTATTATAGCTGGTGCATATTTTTTTGGACCTAATATTAATGCAGTACTTGTTGAAAGATGTGCATATCAATTTTCACCATGGCCAGTTTTTATTATATTCTTTTGGGGTGTTGTCGAAAATAATTGGATACGAAAAAGTCTTACAAGAAATAATATTATTGCAGCTATTGAATTATCAGCTAGTATTATATCAGCTATTGTTGCATTAGCTTTATTTACAATCCGTTATCGGGCTTCAAAAATAGATCCTATAATCTAAACCAATATTTTTTTGGCAAATTATATCAATATCCAATGGTGTTATATATTCATCTTTTCTTGGTTTTTTTTTGTAGGTGATTGGTTTTGTTTTTAATTTAATCAAGCTTTTAATAAACAACAAAACATATGAAAAAAAACAACAAACAGAAATAATAAATAAAATTATGTCTTCTTGGGAAATGGATATGATAAAGATTTATTTGTTTGTTGAGCACCAGGCCGTTTTGGAGTCTAGAAAATGATAATATTATGAATAAATAGAATGGACTCTGTCGGATTTAGTGATGTATTTTGAAACAGAATACTATATATGTAGTTTTGTAGAGCAATTGGCGGCGCATTGAATGATATATAACAAATCAGGTTTTATGAAAATTTTCATGTGCTGAGTGTTTAGGTACTGATGATAATCTTTGAAGAATATAGATGGTACTTATAGACATCATTGTCCCTAAGATAAACTTATGTAAATTTAGTTTTTATATTCAGTTTGATACAGTTATAAATGCTTTTCAATTTTCTTTAATCAATAGATTTCATCATTGCTTTAAAAATGGTCTCTTTTCTTAAGTCTAGGTTATGTCTTGCCTATATGATATTTATATATTTTACAGATAACATCTTTCGAAACAGCAGGAATTCATTGCCAACTTGCAAGATTGTCTTCTAGAATAGCCTATTTTCTTATATGCAAGGACCGGTACATTGACGATATTTTAACAATACTCAACGATTCTATTACAAAATGTTATGTAATGATAATTAGCAGAACATCACTAATGCACTGATATAAGTTCTTTATAACAGAAAGAAAAACTTTTTGACCTTCGGATCCCTGAAAAGAGTATGGTATAAGATTACAGAAAGGAGGTCTGTTATTTTTATTATTGTTTTTTTCAAGTTTTTTATTACAAGTATTCGAATTTGATTTTTGCATAAAACTCTACAATAATCTATAAATATCTTATGTGCTTTTCACAAAAATTTGTGCATATTCCTGTACTCCCCTTTAGGAATTTGGAAGCGAAAATTTTTTTTTCTGTTATTAAGAACTTATATCAGTTAATGTACCGGTCTCCTCATATAAGAAAATAGGCTATTCTAGGAGACAATCTTGCAAGTTGACAACGAATTCCTGCTGTTTCGAAAGATGTTATCTGTGAAATATATAAATATCATATTCCTCAAAGATTATCATCAGTATCGAAACATTCAGAGCATGAAAATTTTCATAACACTCAATTTGTTATATACCGTTCGATGCACTACAATTTGCTCTACAAAGTCACATAAACGTCAATCTGGCTCAGGATAGATCATCAAATCCGATGGAATCCTTTCGTATTGAAAACAAAAAATTTACTTTAACTTTTGAAGACTTTGTTGGACGATTTGGTTCATAGATATCTTCATCATCGGCTGGTCGTTTGAATTTTTCTATGAAAAAAAAAAAAAATTTATCTTGTTTTTTATTTTTTACCTTTTACAAAACATCTTTTACTCACTGTTCGATAGAATTTCATTTTCATTAATAGGTTCATAATTAAATGATTGAAATGATGTTTATTTTTGTTCATATAAATCATCAATAATTTCTCCTGGTTCTTCATCATCATCATCATTGTCTAATACAACTGTTTATGGTACTTCATCAGCAACACAAGCATGTCGATATCTTTTATTTTTCATCAGTTGACTAGAGCCCATCGGGTCCAGGTCCGGGATTAACTTCTGGCCAGAGACAGATGGTCATCGAACAGATTCTATACTAATTTTTGAACGGATGATACATAATAACATTAATTCAAATCATAAACTCAGTCATTTGAGTATCGAACGATTTCCTCATCGACAATTTGAGGATGAGTTTAGATGAAGAGAAGACCCATACACCCTCTAGATGCCGGCATCATCATCATCATCATCACTATATTGAACAGTCGACTACCAAAGCGAAAAGAAAAGTGTTTCAGCAAACAACTACAAAATTTGATTGAAAATTCACATATAAACGCTAATGATCAGTTAAAGTATATCGGGCGTTGCTATTTCTTATTGATTTATTTATGTAATCTTACGGAACAGTTAAATAATATATTCGAATCTTTTTTTTGTTGTGTGTTTTTCTCAAAATTTTCTTCAACAAGGATCTGTCTTATAACGAAAATGCTCACACATAACTGTCTGACTTCCCTTGGTTTTCGAAAAAAATCGTTTTTTTTTTGTGAATGTTACCATAAACCTACCTTCAGTTAAAGGTCTAACATAGATTAACGTTAATGAAGTTACATTTACTCTCGACAATCTATGAACTTTTCAAAATTTAAAAATACTTTCTACGAGCTTTTGTATATTCGATGTTTAAATGAAAATAGTTTTAAAGTAAAATTCAAAAAGATGGATCTTCAGAAAATATAATTCTCGATCATATGAGATGAATCCTCAATGATGTTAAAATCGAATATGATAATATTACCTTTATTACTATTAACATTTTTATTTTGTGGTACAAGATCAAGATCAATTTTAACATGATTTGGTTGCATACTCTTAATAAGTGATAACATTGTTTGACTATATGTAAAATCATCAAGATCTTCATCATCTGTATTTCCACTGTTTATTTTTGTTTTCTGACTTAAAATATCATCAGATTCATCTGTTTCAAAGCCATCTATACTAAAATCCGAATCATTACTTAATTCATCATTAGTTTTTAATAATCCATTAGCTAAATTTGTTGCTAATAATTGACTTTGTGCAAATGCAGCAAAATTAGTTAATGAAAGATTTGTTACAGTTAATGAATCATTTGATGATGATGATGATGATGAACTATCACGTCCTTTAGTTACAATTGTTGATGAATTACCAAAACCAAGACCTAAATAAACCAATTGAATTCATTTTAAAATAGATCATTTCTTTTCTTTTTTTTTTACCAAGTTGTGTTAAATCAAATTCTTCATCATCATCATCCGAACCAGTTTCTTTATCTTTTGCTCCACTATCATCTGAATTATCTGAACCAAAATCTGTTTCTAAATCTCGTCGTGGTTTTCTTGATATTCTTCCACTACGTAAAACTTTTCCTGGTCGTTTTGGTTTTTCTTCTGTTGTTGTTGTTGTTGTTACTGTTACAGATTTAAGTTTAACTGGTTTACGTTTATTTCTAATAGGTTGCTGTTGTTGTTGTTGTTGTTCATTTAATTTAGGAGATTCTATTTTTGGTTGAATTAAACGTTGATTCGATTGAAATGAACCTGTTGTTAAATGATTAACACCACGTGGTGGATGACCATGATGAGAACCACGTCCAGCTCGACCACGAGGACGTCCACGAGTTGTACCTCGATAAACTCGATTACTTTCTATGAACAAAGAAAAACAAACTATTAGCATAATTATTATAGGATTAAAATGTGAAACACGTATGTAACTGCTGTTGCTAATCACAAAGAGAGAGGGAAATGTTATTAAGGCATCTGTCTATGATTTGCAGATTCAAATTTCTACCTCTATATTTCAATACTCCTTTTAGATCGTGTTTCACATAATTCAATCTTTAAAATATCAAAAATATATATTGTTTTTTTTTGAATACCATATTTCCTGAATGGCATGTCGAATTCATCGATATTTTCTTCTTGGTGAAAAAAAATCATCACCAAAATCATCATATTCATTATCAAGTAACATTCCATCTTCATCTTCATAATTATTACCAGTATAATAATCACGATAATAATTACTACGTGGATAGGATGTATTAGTTGTTGGATACGAACGATTATTATTATTATTATTAGTGGAATAAGTATTACTACGATTATGAGAAGGAAATCTATTCATTGTTTGATACTGTTCATAACGTTGCCAAATTGTTTCATCAATATCATTTTCATTTAAACGTTTAAGAGTAACTTTTGTTTCATTATATATATCTTAAAATAATATATTAATATAAAAAATTCAAGAAAAAAAAAACTTACTATGTATACGTCGTAATCGTTCTTCTAATAAAGATCTATTGGATGGATTAAATCGTGACATAGAGATTAAATCTAAGAAAGAATTTATATTTTAACATATAGAAGAATTTATTTATTTACTATTCGATACTGGCAATTCATTCGTATAATGATTTTGTCCATTGATTTTCTACAAAAATAAAGAAAAGATTTTATAAAAATGTAATTTTTTTTGTTATATCATCAGAAAGGACAAACCATCTAAATATTCCATTGCATCTAAAGATTTTTGGATATTTTCATTTTCGAACAAATTATTTGAAAATCTAATAATCATTTTTTTTATCGAAAATGACATCCTCTATTTGCATTCTTTCTAGTGATTAAGTCAGTGAGAAAAAAACTGAAGTCTTGTATAAAACAAAAGAAATCTTTGTTTTAAATATTCTCATTGACTTACTGATGAATAATTATAATTATTAGTTGAATGAAAAAAAAATTCTCGTTTTTTAACAAATGATTTTCTATCTTTTTCATCATTATCATTATCAACAATTCCATCTATCTGACCATGCATAATAAAAATATTTTCGTTTGATTTTATTTTTAATTTAATAATATCAATAAGATGTTCATAATCAATATTTGATGTTATTAATTCTTTAAAATGATATGGTATTAAACCATCTGTAAACATTGATAAAGATTTTTGATCATCTAATATTGGTATATAATCGATCGTTGTTGACATTATATTTGTCACTGATGGTGATCTATCTAATGGTATAGATGCTAAATATTTTTACAAAAAAAAAAAAGTTAATTGTTTTGTGTAATTTTACAACTTACTAGCTTGAAGATCAACTGTTATTTTTATACAACGTGCAATATCATTATATCGTTTTTGTAAACGATAAACTAATCATTTTTTCTGGTCCTGTTTCATCAAGATAGGATAAAAGATTTTCAAATTGATCCAATGTAGAATAATATCGTACATCTTCACCGGTTTCATCCTCTCTATAGAAAATTGTTTGATAATAAAATAAAACAAAAGACATTTTTAAATAATTACTTACACAAATAGACGACGACAAACAAACCAATATCTTCATTGTTCTCGATCATGACCAATACAAAAACAAAAAGACATTTTTTTTTTTTGTTATTTTCTTTTCTTTATTTTAAATCATTTGTCAGATTATTTGATATTTTTCTTTTCAGATTAAAATGAATATGAACGATCTTCCACATAATGTTTTATATAATATATGTAAATATTTATTTTTCATTGATGTTATAAACTTGTCAAAAACATGCAAACAACTATATATTTTAATTGAAAATAATGATTATTTTTGGATGCTATTAATTCAAAATCATTTTGGATCGATATTATATCAACGCTATGTTAATCAAATATTTCAAAACAAGAAAAATTCTGATTATGTTTTATATCGAACAAAAAAAGATATACAAAAATTTGAAAAATGTTTTCGAAGACATTTCGAGTGGGAAATGTGTAATATTTGGTTATGGAATGTATTAAATGGTAAAGATAATAGTGATGGCTATATAGCTCATAAAAGTATAACTAAACAAAAACAACGTCCACGTACAAATGAATTAAAAATGTCTTTAACAACTGAAGAATTCTTTGAATCTTATTTAAATAGAAATAAATATTTAAATAATGAAAATATTCGACAAATATCATTGTATAAATTAATTTATTATTATTTTATTGAAGCGAAACGTTTATTAGGTATTGATTTATTTGTAATAGATCTTCGTTGTACACCACGTCATAGAAGTTGTCCCATACGAAAATATCTAAATCAGGAATATCTAAATCATGAATATGATTTAAATAGTTTAACAGGTCGATGTGTCCGTTTATATTCAACTCCATTGAGAGATTTAGGAGGTATAAAAGGTAAATTTAAATCAATATTACCTGGAATCTATGAAATTATATGTCGTATTAAACTGGATAAGAACAATGTATATTTAACGTACTATACTGAATGTTGTAGTAAAGATCATAGAGTAGAAAAAAGTGTCGAATGTTCTTTTTATGCACTAGCTGATCATGGTCTCGATTGTGAATGTGATTCGAAAACAATGAATTTTGATTGGTTTGAATCAAACTATTTATTACATGAGAATATTAATTGGTTTAATGAAACAATGGGTAAAATAAAAGTATTCGAATTATCGAATATTTATTTTGGATTTCGAATTAGATCAGATTATGGTTATCGCAATATTTTATTTGACTATATACAATTAAATATTATTAAATAATGTACTTTGTGTTTTTTTTACAATGTAAAATTGAATTGTTTAATAAATATTATAAGTTTTAATTGTCTTGATTCTGTTCATAGCTATTTAATATGTCACGAATTTTTAAAATTTAGAAAATTTGCTTTTTATCATACAAAACATAAAATTTGCTCACTAAGAATGAGAGAGTTTGTCGCAATCGATATAGTATGAAGTAGATTTTTAGTAATTAAAATTATGCTTAAGAAAAACCGTCTGGTGTAATCCTATGGTGATTACAACATGGAACAAGATGAGACTGCTTGTGTTGTAAATAAGAACTTTGAGCAAATGGTCTCTTTGAAAAAAGAATTTGTATGAAATTCTCTATTTTTCAGCTTCTTCTCTACTCGAACGTGAATAGAAGAACT